TCCATCCATCCATCCATCCATCCATCCATCCATCCATCCATCCATCCATCCATCCATCCTTATTCTTCTGCTTGTTCTGAAGTCGGGTCGCAGGGGCAGCAGCTTGAGCAGGGAGCCTCAGACATCTCTCTTCACAACCACTTGTTGGGGCGGCAATTAGGGGTTGAACGACTACATAATTTTTAAACTCGACATTAACATAATAAAACTCGAGTAGAACTCGAATACTTGATGACATCATAGGATCTAAAGATACAAAAATAAATAAATAAAACCGCAAAAAAAGGTAATTATTTACAAAAAAAGACCAACAAAACATTGGGAGCATATATTATGCTCCTACCATTTATCATACTGCAAATAAGTCACAGGAAAAACTAAACTATTAGTTTTTATTATTATTATTATTAAGCTGCAAAAGTGAAAGAAACGTCCGTCACGTCAAAAACGAAACTAAAACAGTGGGGGGTCGACCACCCCGCACCACCGCCAGCTGTGGTGCACATTAGATTTAGTTTTAGAGATTAATATGTTTGTAGGTTTTTATAGGTTTACAAATTAATATTTTTTGCTTTTTGTTTGTGAAACAAGGTCGGAGGAAGCTGGTTCTGGTTCAGTCGATTGGACCCGGTGTTGCACCATATTCTGTGACCTGCAACAGTGCATGCAACACCGCCCCCTATGGTCACAATATACGGTGGTCACAAAATATGGTGCAACACCGGTTCCCAACGAGATCCAAACAGTCAGGAAGTTTATTAATTTTCTGTTTCCTTACGGTAGTTGAACTGGAAGATTTATCGTTAGTGAAATATTTCCAGACTATTGATGTATTTCTACCTGTTTGCTAAGACTGGACCTGCTCTGCTCCATCTGTCTGCTTGGCGGAATCCATTTTGTAACCCACGCCTGGTGTGGATCACGTGACACGTGACGCAATGACGTAAAGGCGATGTAATGACGTCACCACGAATACTCGACGTGAAATTAAAAAACTTGATAGATGTCCTAGGAATCGATGTGTAGATTACTCAAGTAGTCTGTTAAAGCCCTAGCGGCAATGACTGAGTGGTTAGAACAGCCGTCCTCCAATGCAAGAGTTGAGGATTTGATTCCACCAGCTGTCACATGCCAATGTGTCCTTGGGCAATTCAGTGAACCAATCATTGCCTCCAATGTTTCTTCCTGTTGATTCTGGACCCAGCTTCTGTTTCTCATGGGAGCATCCATCCATCTTCGCAGGGGGGCCGGAGCCCCCCTTAACCCAACTCAAACTGCAGTTGCCCATTTGATTTGTGACACTTTATGGTCTGAGATTTTTCTGCATCATTTATATTATTGTCATTATTTTCAGATCTCAGACTATCTGGAGTCACTGAATCTTGTTAATACACCTGGATCTGCCCATCACTGCAACTTTCACTGTCTTTGGGTTCTGAATGATCACGTCTTCATTAATGTTTCTCATGGCTCGATTATGGGGGCTAATTGTCGCACTGTTAACACTTGTAATTACACGAGTCATGAAAAACTCAAGAAAGTGTCTGATAATAATGTTGTTACTGCTATCAGGGATTCAGCCCAACCCTGGACCCCCCACTAATTACAGCACACCAAATGACTTTAAAAACATGTCGGGACTTCATTTCCTGATGTAAACGCACGTAGCCTTCTGAGAAAACTTGATGCTTTGAAAATTCTGATCAGTTCTTCTGGGGCAGATGCAATCTTCATCTCTGAAACCTGGCTCAACAAATCTGTACTGAATATACTGACCAGGTAATCAATGGATTTAATGTCTATCGCTGTGATCGTCAAAAAGGGGGGTGGGGGGGGAGTCGCTATTTACATCAGAGATTCTGTGGTTTCTAGTCATGTGTCTGCTAAAACAATTCCAAACCAGTTTGTTTCTCTCCCAACACGGACGGATACTTGCTGTATGAGCTTCTGTTTGTGCTTTACTGGTTACTGCTGTGTATAAATACTAGGGGTGTAACAGTATGCTAAAATCACATTTCGGTTCGGTTTCAAGGAGGGCTCGGTTCAGTTAAATTTTCGGTACAAAAAAGGCCAAAATACAGACCTACAAAATGTTTTTAAAAATATGCCAAGTAAAAAAATACATTTGTATAAAAATAAATAAAAGCGACCCATTTGGATGACATTTTAAATAAACAGCACTTTACAATAAATAAACTATTCTAACAATAATAAAATTTTTAACAAATACAATAACAGTCAGAACCAGAACAACAAGAAGCAACAGACCATTGACAATCTAACTAATCAAGTTTTAAGTTCGTGGCCAAAAAGACCAACTTGTCCACATTTTCTGCCAAAAGTTGCAATGACAATATCTCCAGTGGTGGAGAAAACTGCTCACTAGCAACAGAGGTAGCAGGAATAAAGAGGCAGAGCGTTGCTAATTTTGCAGTGTGTGTAATGCTGAGCAGCCCCCTGCTGACCCCTCATCTTCTCACGTCACTGCTCCTCTTGCCATCTTTCTGCCCATCCTGCCATAAACCTGCCTTCATGCTCTTTGTTCTCCTGCCCGTGTCACCTGCCATAGTTTCTGCCCCTCATGCCATTGTTTGTTTTTCCCTGATGTGTTTTGCCTATCACCCATCCTCCAGCTCAAGCCTGCTTCCTTCACTCTATGCCACGCCTCCCTTTTCTCACAGCAATCAGCCCTGATTCCATGCACCTGTTCAACTCATCTAGTTCACCTGCTCTGCACCCTTTATAAGTTTCATTCTCACTCTCCACCGGTGCCGAATTATTACACCACTCATGGTCCCTGATAGTGAAGCCTTCAGTCATAGTATCTTGTTCCATAGTTTTGTATCCTTGCCTTGAACCCTCGTTTGTTTTTTGACTCCTCGCCTTGCCTTGCCCCTTTCTGGATTTGTCTGAATTTCTGACCACGGTAACGACTCTTGCTCTCCCTTAATTAACTAATTATACCATTGGCTTTAGTTCAGCCATTTTTAAACATACAACACTGGAATGTAATATTGCTGCAGTCCAGAAGACTTAAAAAACTCTCAGTGCAAATAAACAATCCAAGTTGGCTGGTAAAACTAATTTTAAATGGCCATAACTCTGTCAATATTGGACACATTGAGCTAAACATTGGTGTGTTGATAGCCGACAACGTTCCCCATCTCACACAGAATGCAAATTAAAAATCCAAAATGGCCACCATAGCGCAAAGGAAAGTACGACTATAACTCAAACATTGTTTGCTATATTGTGTTGAAATTTGTTATGGTCATAGCTAGGCCTGTCGCGATAAACAATCTCCATCACATAGAAAGGTCAAATCAAAATACCATGTGGCAGTCCCCTAATAAGTTTCTCCAGTAGCTTTTCTTGTTGGTTACTGCTGATTTTACAGTATAGGAAGGCATTTAGTGCATTGAAAAGCAATGGAACTTTTGAAAACTATCCAAGTAGGCTTTTCAAAAATTTCAATACACAAAAATAACTTCAGGTAGAAATGATTATGGCCTGTACCATGTGATTCAGTAAATTACATGGAATGTTGAAATATGAGCCATTAAAATATGTGTCTTTAGGTTTGGAAGTTGAACATGCCTGAGTATTTTTCTATGCTGTACACAGACTCTATAGTTATTATCATGTAAATGTTATCTAAATACTATTTGTGGTTTGGGCTGCAGTATGACTTTCATTTATGGAAGAATCATATGATGATTATTATGATTTTAGGTTTCTTTTTAGGGTTCCATGGTCCGCTGGATGCATGAAAACGTGGCTGCATTGCAGCTGCATTCCCATACTTATGCAGGCCAACAACAACAACGATGACATCGACAATAATACCATCTAAAGCACAAAATTATGAACTCACAGAAGTCAAAACTTAAGTTGAAATTAAAAAGCAAAATGGGGTAAAAAGTCTAAAGAATGCCATAAAAATGAGAACTTGTTTGTACTGCAAGGAGGAAGCATGATTAGGGTCGGGACAGATTAGTTCTTAAAATTGTTCCTGAGCTGAATTGTATACATTATGTCTAGCTGACCTCGCACAGTGATTGCTGGACATGGGCACCAGCGACCCCCGTGACCCAAAATGGAATAAGCGGGTAAAGAAAATGGATGGATGGATGGATGGATGGATGGATGTCTAGCTGACTTGCTAGAACAGAACGTCACAAGTTTGTCAGTTCATTGACTATTCCAGTTATACGTAAAAATCTGCTTTGAAGAGCTGGTGTTTTAATCTTTTTTTTTTTCTTTGTCTTTGCAGGTGTGAACAGGGAGACACGGTCACACACACTGCTTGGCTAAACCGGTCGAGTATACTGTATGCCGGGGAGGACAAGTGGTCAGTTGATACCAGAGTAAGTCTGGTGGCCCTTAATCAAATGGAGTTCACAATCAAGATTGAAAATGTGGACATGGCAGATGAAGGGCTGTATGTGTGTACAGTCCAAACAAGCACTCGACCAAGAACTACATCTGTTTACATTCTTGTTCAAGGTAAATAAAGTAAAATAAAATGCTGCTGATAATGCAGAAGCACACACATCTTATATTATGTAGATGTTATCCTACAAACTTTGCATGATGTTTGGTGTATAAGCACAAAAACAGCCAGAACCTTCCCTTCTACTGCCTGAAGCCACAGAGAGCAACCCTCTCATTCACTGGGACAAACTGTAAAGGCCGCCACATACTCGGGCGTACTTCACTCCACAGAGGTCCACACGTACCCGAGGTGGTCTCAACGCGGACTCGAACTGGATGTTTGCAAGCCATGTCCACTCAAAGATCAGTTATCACAACCGCATACTCTGTGTCGTACAATAAACTGCCTAGTGACATATTGTTTTGTATGCAACACCAAAGTATTAAATTCTCCCTGGTCTGGTTTAATGGCCTTTTCTTTTGTTTTTTGTTGTTGTTGTTTTTGTTGCCAAGAGGCAAGCGATCTCTTTCTCCTTGTCCATTGACACCATGACTGAAATTGTGAGAAATGAAGGAATTAAAATAAGGCCCGGCGTGGCTGCGGGAGGGTCTGGAGATTTCCTGGTGGGCTGGTCAAATGTGTGGGCTGCAGGGCCGCTCCCTGTTTTAAATTTTTTTTTTTTTTAGAACTTTTTATTAATAACATATAAACACAAAACACAGCTGCCGCTGCTCCTGGGCTGCCAGCTGTGTTTTGTGTGCCCATCAGGGTGTACACTGGAGTATGAAGTCTCAACCGTCTGCGGACAGTGCGTGCAATGTCTGCGCAGCTCACAGAGTAACCACAGTACACCTGAGTATGTGGGAGCCTTTACATTGAGGCATTGAGCCAGAGGCTTGTGAGTGTCCTTACAGTCGCCCGTCTCTTTGGGCAACTCCAGAGTAAGAGAGAGTCCAGCCTGTCTTCAGGAGTTGCGTTCCAGAGGCCAAGCGGTGCATAGAGGTGAGCCCAACTATACGCTCAACCGCACACACAAGCTCCCGTTCTTTATCCACCAGTGAGGTGACACATTCCTAGAGATAGTATATGCCAACAGGAATTGGTAAAGCCAGGGATTCTCCCTCACCTAATGTTTGACATGCACAGTACCGGATCTTGATGGACCTCCCCACAGGTGGTAGGCCCATGGGGAGGTGGATACCTGTTATTTTTCAGGCTTGGCCCAGCTAAGCCCAATGAGCCAAGACTCAATGACCAGGCAATTGCTGGCAAGCTCCTCTCCATAAGCATGGCTCCAGGGAGGTGCCCCAGTTTCCTTTTTCCAGGCAAGGTTTACTGATGTATCTGTTGTTTTTTTCATCAAGGATTTTTATTGCTCTTTGTGTGACCCCTCCCCTGAGGCCATTTTGCCATGGGAGAACCAGGAACTGATGCCCCTGACAACATAGCCCCCAGGATGTCTGGGGTAATCCCCCCCCCACACACACACACACACCACCACCACATTAAAGCCCTCAGTATACTCCCACGTACGTCCCTTCTCACATACGTACGTGTGTACCTTACGCAGAGGGTTCAGACTTCATACTCGAGTGTACACCCTGAGCAGCTTCACAGACAAGGGGCGTTTACCTTCAGGACAAAATGAGGTCGCCGATTAGTCATTTGCTGACACGCCTACTGGATTGATTGACAGGTCGGAAAGAAAAAAAAAGAGCGCTGGCAGCTCCAGCCACAGCGGTGTTCTGTGTTTATATGCTGTTAATAAAAAGTTCAAATTTTTTTTTAAATACAGGGAGCGCTGGCCCTGCAGCCCACACATCAGACCAGACCACCAGGAAATCTCCAGACCCTCCCGCAGCCACGCTGGACCTGAGTTTAATTCGCTCGTGGCAAATTATTTCATTTCTCACCATTTCAGTCATGACATCAACGGAGGAGGAAGAGATCACTGCTTCTTGGCAACAAAACTAAAGAAAAGGCCAGATCAGAGATGAAGAAGGGGAATTTAATACATTGGTGTCGCATACAAAACAGTCTGTTGCCGGGCAGTTTAATGTGCGACACCGCATACGCGTATGCAGTCGTAAAAATTGAGCTTTGCACGGACATGCCCTGGGGGGTACGCTCGTACCTCCGCGTACGTACGTGCGTACCTCCTCGTATACTGGGGGCTTAAGGTGGCATTTCTGCACAGGGGCCTGTGAAAAGTCATAAATGATACTTTCCTTCATATTTCCATTATACATTTACCCACTTTTTTTTTTTGACCGTGTGATGTTTGGGTTACAGAATCAGAAGATGTAAATAAAATGTATCTGATAGATTTCAGTTTGTTTATATTAACAATAAATATTCATACACAATTTTGTCATAAGTCATCGGGGTTCAGTGCTTAGACCAAATATGTTTAATCAGTACATTATTATTTACAATAATAATTATTACAATGATAATTATAATAATTAATTAAATATCATAATAAAATACAACAACAAAAATAATAGTTTTTTTTCTTCTTTTGGCTTCTCCCTTCTTCAGGGGGGGGGGGGGGGGCGCCACAGAAAACAAATTTGCATGAAGACATAATTATTTTTATGCCAGATGTTCTTCCTGACGCAACCACAGACCACCGAGCTACCACAGCCCTCTGTGTGGAGCAGAGAGCTGCTATCTAGGGCGCCCGGGGGAGCAGGTGGTGGAGGTTAAGTGCCTTGGTCAAGGGCCCAGAATGGGGCAAATGAGGGTGGAGGCAGGTGTGGGTGCTTCACCTACTCAGCCCACATTTTGATGTTGTCGGTACCAGGAATTGAACCAGTAATCTTCTGATCACAGGCACACAGTCTCTAACCTCTGCACTACCACTCCCAATAAAAATAATAATAATAATAATAATTAATACATACAATACATTAATCAACGCATACTTCCTTTTGTTAAAACTATTAGACAGCATATGCTAAATGCGATGATACTAAACTACAGTATGTTTATCTATTAAACTTCTTCTCAGGTGTCCTCATGTTGCTGCCAGAGTGTATATGCAAGCTCGGCTGGATTCATTCTATGCGTAAAGTGAAGAAATCTGCTCTCAGTGATTTAATTGTGTGACAAAAACTGTGACATTATGTTTATATGTGAGCTCCAGGGACCTGTTTTGTACACAAGGTCCAGGCAGATATGTCCGATATGTTATGACTGATCAAAACTTTGTTGTGGGGGTGATTTGGTAGAACAGTGGATGAGCAACAATGGTGTCCGTTTGCTTCAACTGCTTGGCTGAGAATCAGCTGGCTGAGGCTGTTAGAGCAGACACAGAGCACTGAATAGACAAGCATGGACACACAGGTGGTTTTCCATGGTTGTGCAGGTCAGGAGGAAGTACGACAGTTGGGCAGCATAGCTACATATTTGCTCTTTATTTTGCACCTTCTATCAAAAACGGTGGATTGGAAATAAAGAAAACATGTTCAGGTTTTATATATATATATATATATATATATATATATATAT